CAACCCCACCATTCGCTAAAACAATGGCTCCATAAAATTCCTTCTGTCTATTGGTTCATTTTGTTTTAATAGGGGGGTTGGACTATACCATCTTTTGTAAAATAAGGGGAGCCATACTAAGTGTTCCGTTCCGTTCTTGCGCTCGTGACTCGAATCAGCAGTAGGTTAATTAAACAAGCCACAAGGTGGTGACAGCGACAGGGGCGTGAATCGGGAATCGTTTGGCGATACTGTTCCCCGTTCCGCTGAAGTGAATCGTGAATCGTGTTCCGCAGGAAAGAGTGGCGATTCAGTTCCGCTCTCGCGCTAGTGACCCAGCCCTACTGTGCAGAGCCGTAAAAACACATGCAGGTATACATAAAAATGTAAATTTATATCACTCTTATGAAAAGAGAAGTGAAGGTAACAAAATATACATATCACTTCAGAAGCACCATTCTACAACATGCGGGAATTACAAGACTTTTAGTCTTGTATTGGATAATAACTCGAAAGAGCAATACGCATCTATGCTTATTTTGACAACAGCCTTATTCTACGTGATAAAAAAAAGTCTTTTATATCTTTCTTCCTTTGTTTTTAGAGGTATATGTTATATCTATCGCTGCGTGATCTGACAATTTGCGTGGAAACGGGGTGGGGTTGGGCGTTTACAATGCCTTTTATCTTTTTTTTCATACTTGTGATGTTATACATTTATTAATCAATTCCAGAGATCTTGTCGGCTTTCTGTATGGTAGTGTCGAATTTTTCTTTATCTTTCACCCTACAATTCCCAGACCAGCAGCAAATACAAAATACATGTAATAGCACACTTTCAACCATAGAATGGTATAATTGTTGAAAGCGTGCTATTATTTTGAATCAAGTTATAAACTGTTTTCCCCCAAAATACCAACCCATCAGATAAGACAAGACACAGGGGCTCTCGTGGCCTAGAGGTTAGGTGTTGGCCTTTCATTCAAAGGTCCTGGGTTCGAATCCGGGAAGCGACCGATAAAAAATTTATTCTCTAAAATTTGCTTCCTTTCACCTCCTTTCCTGCTCTCTTGCAATGTTCTGTCGTCTGCTTATTTCAACTTTCTGAACCCCCACCCCCTCACTTCCTTTGCCCCCTCCTCTGGGCTCCTGACTCTTTCTGTAGCCTTTTCTACTATTACTCCTTAGCTTCTTCTTACTGCTGTCTTTCAGCCACACCCCTGATCTTCTGGTAGGAGAGTTCTACTCCTAGACTTCTCGGAAAAGGGCGAAAAATCTCGGAGGGCCCGTGTGCAAGTTGCGCACGTTAAAGATTGGTGGTCTAAGAGTAGGCTTCGGCCGCCACCCGGGCAAAATTCAACTGAGAAAGGTAGGTTTGTCCCGCGCGCTCATATGACCTTATGCAGCTGAGAGCACCGTAAAACACTTGCTAAAAAAAACAACAAACAAGACACGCGTAAGTGAATTTCCGATTTTTCAACGATACAGAAAGACAGTGTGCAATATCAGTAACGATGAATAAGATTCGCACACTCTCTTTTATCCACTAAGCAACAGACAGGCATCATTTGATTGAAATGGGCGGCGACTTTAACAAGTAAAAATATATTAAGATCGGTAGATAACATTTATATTGTATAGCAGAATTCCATTGAGAATTTGCAAAACGCGTTCTAAAAAAAAAAATACGTATGTAGTTGCAACAGTGATCCTTTTACCCCCCTCCCCTCTTTCCTCTTTCTCTCTCTCTCT